TTGAAAACTGACAGGCCTCGTCCAAGCAGTCACTGCAGAGTCGGTAACGACTGAGCGCAGATTAAAAAAAAAATAAAAATCACCAGTATGTAAATAGCCAGTAGGACACAAATGAGACAGTTCATTAGAATTTGTAACAATAGGTTTTATCAAAAACTTCTGGTGTGGGTACAGCCCAAGTCTGAGAGCCAATTCTGTTTCTATAATATCTAGTAGCAAGCGCTATTAAGTGGAATGCTGTTTTGGACTGGATACATTGGTTTTAGGACTACTGTATGCCATTTGTATGAATCTGAACCACATGCCTATAAAGGTCAGTTATTTGCATTAATCACTGTGAAACTGGGAAAGTAAAGCTTGATTTGCTGCAATACTGTACTATAGTTTGACATAATTTTGCCAATAAGGCAGAGTTTGCAGATTAGGAGCACTTTTGAAATGGCTAATTTCTTATAACTTTTTCTTCTATGCTAGTAAAAACAAAGCTATTGATAAACAAGGAGAATTGTTGGAATGCATACAAGACTGTTTTGAAAGTAAGTTGAATGGATGAATATAAAGTATTTTAATAAAATGAAGAGAAATGTATTGCTGGTCTTGGTAACCTTATGTGAAGTATGGTCCTTATCACAACATTATAATCGATACTAGTTTAATTAGAATAATGGGCCAAATTTTTGTTTGCAGTAGCAAACACATGTTGTATTACATTTGAGTTTTAAATACCATATGTATATTTGCTATTAAACAACATTTTCTTTACATGTATGTTGCTACATTACAGAGGTGAGGGAAAAATTGTACAAGGTTTTCCAAGAACAAGGAGTTGTGAGGTGCTTTTAACAATTGTTTCATCTTTTACAATTCTATTTTTAATTGGTTAGAATTCACTTGGTCAAATACAGCTTTTCAAGGCAAAGAGAAAATTGCATTTCAAATGAAAGACATATTTTACAGTATTCCTGGTTAAATGCAATGTTTTCAATTAGTGAAAGCAATGTTCTGTAGTCAAGGCTGTGGGAGTAAAGGTGTTCAAAATCTTTTAAGCTTGGAATGGCTGTTTGCAGTTCAGATGGTTTGTAATGGGTTGTTCCAGCTTGGAACACTTCCAGTAAAGTCTGAATGGCCTGCTTAAAGTGCAGTTTTGAATTTTAAATGTTTTGGACACCCCCATTTATGATCCATAAGTGCTGCTTAGACCAGTGCACAATTTACATATGGTACTTGGCTGGAAAATGTGCAGTTCCAGGAGCCATGGAAAAGTTCAGTAGTTTTCCTGTGGGCTAGTTGATTAGCTGAACACAGGATATAGCTTGCTGGTTTCTTGCCATTAAGAATAAGAAACCAATGATCTAGTCTCCTCCAGGTAGCTAATCAAGGCAACATGACAGAGGAAAAATTGTGTTTTACAGAAGTGTGTGATGAAAATTGCTGCCAACTTGATCTCTGGGAAGTCTCTGAGCCTTCACAAAACTAGATTTCAAGAACTAGATTCTTCATCATCTAGAGAAAGTTGACTTAGATACTTGTTAAGATGAAAACCATTAAAATTGGCGGGAAGTTGCATTTGCAAAGCTTTGTAGAAAATTGGGCAGTAACCTCTTTTTTGTGTGTGTGGGTGTCTTTGAGTCTGTTTCTGACTCCTGGTGACTGCCTGGACTAGTCCGTGCAGTTTTCCTGGCAAGGTTTTTCAGAAGTGGTTTGCCACGCCCTCCTTCCCAGGGTTGAGAGAGAATGACTGGCCCTAAGTCACCCAGCTGGCTTCATGCCTAAGGCAAGACTAGAACTCATGGTTTCCTGGTTTCTAGCCTGATGCCTTAACTACTACACCAAACTGGCTCATACCTCATTTGACTCCTGGGAAATCTTACTTTATTAAAAATTCTCACTTCTGGGTCTTAAGAGAATATGGTTGGGGATAGTTTTAGTTGGAATAAATTTCACTGGGCTGTCTAAAAAAGCACAATATATAGCACTACAGTTCTTAACAGAGTATTTTTTTTTGTCTTTGTAGCTTGTGCCAAGGAATTTACAGAATGCTCCCCTTGCATATCATGTGGCTCATCCTCTAGTTTGGATCAAGTTCCATGCCATAGCAAAAAAGTAAGTTGTTTACCTAATAATAAAACATTTCATTTTATTTGTATAAGGAGCACAGTGGTTGTGCATACCTTGATAATTGAATTTATATTTTTATTTACATTTCCAAGCTTTTATTTCTTCTGTTGGACCTACTGCTTCTGTAAAATTATTCAGCAAGATTTCTGAATAATTTCTGCCATTTGTTAGCTTCTGTAACATATTTCAAGAATCCCTCCCCCCTACAAACACTTGCAGGATCCAGATACTTGCAGGATCTCTAGAGGGCATTGTGATTCATGATGGGGAAGAGGGATGTTTCTGCTCCTTGGATCAGTAAATAGGGCTAAAATATCACACTGATTTTCTCCAACAGAAGGAGCGATTATCATATCTAATATTTCTTTAAAATATTTTTTCCTTTCTTTTTTCTCCTCATTCTCCCCATTCATTATGAATCACATAGGCATGTGATTGAGGAAGAAAGGCAGGAAAACCTGCTGATTGTAGTCACCATTATCCTTTGATTTGCAGAGCCACAATGCAATCCAATGGTTTTGGACTCCTTTCTCTCCAAAGCAGCCAATGTTGCAAGGCCAGCTACATGGTATTTTGGTGACAAGCCCTTCAGCTATAAAGACTGTAGCAAACTACTCGTTCTTTCCACTGTTCAACAGTGGAGACAGAACAGGTGTTATAGAGGACGGGGTCATTTTGAAAATTCTCCAGGCTACATGGCACAGTAGGAATGCCAGAAGGTATATAGCAAAGCATAAAGATGTTAAGTGTCTCTACTGTCATCAGCTTAAAGATGATATTTCTGAACCTCAATGAAATGGATGCAGCTGAAGCAGCAGGGATTGGTTATGATACTAGCAGTTCAAAGGTATTTGCCAAGATACTGATACCTGTTGTAGCATAACTGAGGCAGGAGGGAATTTATATCTATACCCAGTAGCATATAAAAATTTGGAAAAACAACACTATGTTCTAATGAGGTAGCTGCTAATTTAGTCAAAGGGTTTGTAATCATGATGGAACAGGTCTTGTCTTAAGGAAATCTCTTGAGTAGCCATTGGTCATCTGTAGTTCACTAAGCCTATAAGCTTCATAAATACTTTTGCAGAAGCATTATTTATCAGGTTAGTATTACTTTTATGATGTCTAATATACAGTGGTACCTCGGGATACGAACGCCTCTACTAACGAACATTTTGGGTTACGACCAGCTTCGGCAGGAAAAATTTACCTCGGGTTACGAACCAGATACGCGGCCATTTTTCCGCCCGTTACACGGTCCGCGGCCATTTTCCCGCCCGTGCCACATGGTCCGTGGCCATTTTCCGCCCTTCCACGTGGTCCGCGGCCATTTTTCCGCCCCTTCCACGTGGTCCGCGGCCATTTTTCCGCCCCTTACGGTCCGCGGCCATTTTCCCGCCCGTGCCACATGGTCCGTGGCCATTTTCCGCCCTTCCACGTGGTCCGCGGCCATTTTTCCGCCCCTTCCACGTGGTCCGCGGCCATTTTTCCGCCCCTGCCGCGTGGTCCGTGGCTGTTTTTCCGCCCCTGACGCATGGTCCACGGACACCAGAACAGATTAACGGTGATTACATTGAACCTTATGGGGAAATTTGCTTCGGGTTGCGACCAAATTCGGGCGGAGGGCGGAATGGATTAACCGTATTTACATTGAACCCTATGGGGACATTTGCTTCGGGTTACGACCAACTCGGGCTACGCCCAGGGCCACGGAACGGATTTAGTTTGTATCCCGAGGTACCACTGTACTTGGAATTCCACTTCTTGAGACTCCTGTATGGTAAGAAATGCTTATAATCTCTATTTTCAAGGACTTTCTTCTGGATTCTCTGCAGCTCAGTTAGGGTTTACGTTGATCAACAGTTCTACTCTTGCCCATGGATATGGGGAGAATAGACAGGGTCACCTGGGCTGAGCTATGTAATACAGAATTTCCCAGTCATATTCCATCAGTCTTAAGGGTCCAATTATTTTCATAGGTCTACCATCATAACTCAAAACTTTATGTGGATATATTCCCTTGAGCAGATATCAGCAAGGGTGTAATCTCATGATAGATTGGCATAGATCTATGGTGTTGAATATATAAGAATGGCCCATATAAGACAGCCATCATAACCTTAGTATGGCTACAACGCTATACAGGTAGTCCTCATTTAGTGACTGCCTTGTTTAGTGACTGTTCATAGTTACAATGGTGATGAAAAAGTAACTTGATGACCAATCCTTGCATTTACAACCTTCGCAACTTTGTAAAGCAAAGGAAAGCTGAAGTAAAATCATAAGCACAGTCACGGTTTCACTTAGCTGACTGAGTTGTTGGTCTCAGTTGTGGTTGCTAAACAAAAATTACCTGTAACTGTTTTAGATATGAAAAAATCATAGTGTCTTTATTGCTCTGTTATTAACAACATGTTTTTTTCCATTTCTGCTCTGTTCCCTGATTATCAGAAGGAACAGACCAAGTTGGAGCTTGCAAAGGTCAACCCTGTGAACAATGTCTTTAATACCTTCAATTTCTTCCTATCACCAGCCAGAACAGAAAGATTTTCAGGTGGGTGACATTATTGTTGAATTGCTAGCCATTTGAATATAGGCTTTAAAATACATTTTTAAAATTAATGCTACTAGCATTTTTCAAGGAAAAGAAATGTCATTGTATTTATACATGATTTAAAATGTGCAAATAATGATGGTTTCAATCCCTGCTTTGTTCCTTTAACCATTAAAAAGGCAGGAGAATATTTTGAATTCGTTAAAAGATAAAATTGCTGTGTCTCTTGCTATTGGTTAACGTGTTACTGGAAAATAATTTTTTTAAACTAAGTATCCTACTTCCAACACTGGTCAACTAAACAGAATTCTGACACTGCAAAATCTGATTAAGAGAATCACTCATTTTAGTTAAGAGTAACCTATAATTAGCCTTTTATCAATCATTTTCTTCAAACCACAGGCAAAAGTTTATACCATTTCTCATATCAAGAAACTCATTGTCTAGGTATATGCAGCACATTATTCTAGGCTAAAATGCAGTTAGGTAGTTGTGGTTCAGCTTGTTGTATGCACCCTGCTATTGTCTTAACATGCTGTTTGAATCAGACCATCTTATTGAGCCATAATATGCTTTATTTGTTTAGTCATAGCAAGTTATGTGAATATAGCAATTGTGTTGTATTAAACCCAGGTTCAGGGTTAATTGTCTTGAATGAATCCAGCTACCATCTCTAAACAGGTAAGTGCAGAAGACCTTGTCTCTACTGGGTGGCAGATTGGAGTACCAGACCAGCTGAAGGATAGATGGTTGGATAGGAAGGTTAATTTTGACCAAAAATGAAAATATTACAGTGCACTTAAACATTTTAGAACATATTTAAATGTACTCTTGGGTTGTTGACATAGGGAAAATACCACCAATTTGTGTGGGGATGGATGATAATCAAAGCCTTGTCATTTTTAAATGTATCTCAAGAAAGCCATACCTTAACTTAGTAACCTAAGATACTAAGATCCTTAGTATACCAATATGTTTGTCAGTTATAATTTAAGGTAACAAGAGAGGATAGTTTTTCTTATCTCACAAAGAATGATAATGTTGCATATATTTTCCCTGTCTTATCAATAAAATAGGCAGCAACTTATCAGAAGAAATTCTAGATGAGGATATTGATGTGTTGTCCTTAGGATCACCTGCCCTTCTGGGAGAAGGAGAAGGAGAAGAAGGAAAGAAATCATGTGTAGAAAGGTAAATTACTTCAGATCACTATTAAATACTTCACCAAAGTATTCCTATTCCTCTTTAACTTCAAATTAGTGAAGACAAATTATCAACTGTTTAAAGAAAGTTTAATAGTTTTATTTCCATGTTTTGGTAATTAACCATGAGATGAGCCTGGAGCTTGCCTCTATCACACCAAGTGTCTTTAACAAAGCTGTAGGGTCATCTTCTCCAGTTCTGAAGTGGATGATAATTAGGAATGTAAATTTTCCAAAAGATTTGAGAAAATACTGTATGTTTGTTTTTTTCTTTAAGAATTGGAAATTGTTAAGAACACTTGGAGAATCCTGAATGAATTGTTTAATTCTCTTCCCATACAGGTTGTGTTTTGATGAAGAGGTATTTGATTTACACAACAGCAAAAATTTTAGCAAGTCTAAGGGCTTTTGTGCAGGGAAAGAAACAAAGAAACCAACCTCTTGTCAAATAAAGATGTCAAGATCTTTACCATCATTAGAAGCCATGACAAGTGCTTTGGCAGTACGGTGAGTTATGGGTGCCATTATTTAAAGAGCAGCTCTGTATAAAAGATTTCAGCATTTATAACTGAAAGCAAGTCAATCAGATTTTACTGTGGCATTTAAAATGTCTGAGTTGAGGAAAATGTGCACAATCGTTAAAATGGGTTGGACTTGCTTGTTGCAGTTCTAAGCCGATCACTTTATTTCATGAAAAGTACAGACAATGTAGTGTGCAGCTCCTACCTGGGGAGAAGTCTTAACTATAATTTCACTTCTAAGTAAGGTGCTTGGGGTTCTTGGTGCTTTGGGAGAAGGACATGATAGGGGTCATGAGGAGCCCAAACAAAACTTCCCATGTGGATCTGGAGAGGTACATATTCAGGATTCTATACAATCCAGGGACTCTTCCTCATATTAAGTTGTCTATTATGAGGACATCAGTAAAGCCACAACTTTATCTCAGAGATTTATTAGATATGAACCATCTGCTATTATAATATGCTAATTACCAAGTAAATGCAGCTTTGAATGTTTAGACTTATTCTGTCATTGTTGTATTTAACATTGCAACTGGTATCGACCTATGATCATAACTATAAAATATTCCCCTTGCCATTTCTGTTTATTTTTGTAAAATAAGTCTTATAAAGTACAAAGTCTAGATCTGTCAGATACACACACACATGAATCTTAATCTCAAGGCTTGAGCCATATCAGTGGGTTAAAGTCAAGATGTATGAAGTTTGTGTAGCACAATATAATAGGGAAATGATTACTACCGCTAGTTTTCATCAGAAAATATTTTTGTAAAGTATCTGAGTTTTTTCTGAAAATGAAGTTTCTCGGGACTGACCCTCTGTGTTATGTGAGAATTCACATGCCTGTCTTCCCTCTCTAGAAATGCAGCTAAAGGAGCTAAACCAGAAGAGGAATGTGAATTTTTGATAGAGGAATCTTTTGGGGCGTCTTCTGCATCTTGGATTTCAACATCTCGAAAGAAACAAAAACCACAGAAAAAGAGATTAATAGCTGTATCATTTGAAGAAAACAAGGAAGCCCAGCAGAATAATGAAAGGAGAAAAGATAAAAGGGAATTGGGGAAAGCAACTGTGCCAACTCCAGTGAAGCAAATCAAGGCAACAGTAAGTAATGTTGGTGAAATAGCTTTTGATGGATTGCAAAATGCTTCAAGAACTAATGAAGTAATGGCTGTGAAGAATGATCAGTCACAGTTGGCTATAAAGACTACCCAAGAAGCAAGGAAGCAAATGCATTCCAAAAATAGAGATAAAGATTTAGTAGAAATACATAACAGAGTTTACCAAGACCCCATAAGTAGAAAGCAGGCACAAGACCTTATACCTTTACTAGAACCAGAACAAAGATTATCAGTCCAGATACAACCTTTGGAAAGTAGAAAACAAAGCTCATCTCAGTATAAGCTGACTACACAGACAGAAGTGCATAATGAAAACCAGCAGGAGTGCAGAGTTTCAGTTCTATCCTCAAAGGACTGCACACAGTCTAAGAATACAGATATTTATTCTGAAAATTTAGGTTCTGTGCCAAAACCTGTTCCTGTAGCTCAGCAGTTGTGCCATAGTACGCCAATCAGAAAGCAGAAGTTATCATCCAAAAAACAATTGGGGACTCCAAAGAAAAAGAAAAAATCCACTGTTGGACCCAGGAGGAGGAAGAGCAGGCGATCGGTTTCAGAGAGAAGCCTTGAAGATGATCATGGTGAGGAACAGTTAGGTAAAAAGGATAAAAACCTTCATCCTTATGAGTTAAGAAAAACTGATTTAAGGAGGGCAACACCTCAAAAAGTAAAACAGACTTCTTTACTGAAATCCAAGGATAACATATACCAAGAGGATTCTTGTGAGCAGCAACATGTGGCAGAAAAACTTTTAAATGCTTCAGCAAGACAACGAAACAGCGATGGATTTTTACCTCAGTAAGTTCTGATGTATAGGTATATAAGCTTGTTTTAATACTACTTATTCTTGTTGCAATGCATGTTGTATATTGGGATATCGATCTGCTTCAAGCCATGAATACTCAACCCATGTGCTTTGGACCTCTTTTGAGGTGCAAATGCCTTGGACTGCTGTGGGGTTTTGATAATTGCCTGGATACACACATCATTACAGCACTTTCTGCTCTTATTGATTATTTAAATTATTTATATGCTTCTATTTATTACTAGGAATCCTTAGGCATTTTACAACAATTGTAGACCAGGCTACGATAGGTTAAAATAAGTCAAAGGAGAGATGGCTGGAGAAGGGTAACAAAAAAGGAAGATATAAAAGATATCTGAAATACATCAATATTGGGTTTGGTATACTGTAGAGGGTGCCATTTGGAAAAGCCCTATCTTCATGTTGCAGGCCTTGGAAGGGAGAAATGTTCTTTGGGGTAACCTGCTAGTTAAAGGCTTTGTAGATTAGCACCTTAAATCTGGCTTGGCAGCAGCCTGGCAAGCAGTGGAGATCTTTTAGCAAGATTTAGTATCTATGGGATAAAGTATGCCATGTTGTAATCTAACTCTGCATCTGCGCTAGCTAGCTGTATCTTTTGGACCAGTCATCAATACAGGACTTTGTAACATGAAAATATTACAGTGAAAATATTTGTGAAGGCAGCTGTCAGAGTTTTTGTGAAAAGTAAGCTTCCCCCCCTAACAGTTTTTGGGAATGTATATTTTCTTTGAGTGGCATATAAGATAATTGTACAAAAGGCTGAGAAAGCCTTTCTTCCAGAATGACTGTTAGGAAGAAAAATCTCTTCTCTTGCCAAAAAAACTTTTGTTCCAGGAAGGAGTTAGGGCTGTTTCCCATGATCATCTAAGAGGAGATATGTAACAGTTCATACAGTATTTCCAAAGAGATCCTCCATTCTGGGTCTGAGTCTAGTGACAGCACTAAAGGCAAAGTAACATTTATTTTATTTGCACATACTCCCTGCTTTTTTAGAAATAACTTTCTACATCTGCCACTGTTCTGTCATAGCTAGAAAGCTACGAACCTTACATTGTATTTCTTTTTATCTTTTTCACTTTTGTCGTATGTGTGTGTGCCCCCTTGCTAAAGTAGTCCACTTAATTATCCTTCATCTTTTGGTCTATTTTTTCTCCTTATATATACACACTCTTCTTGGAGAATTTATGGGTCGAACAAAATTCTCCATGGTTTTCCTTAAAAATCCAAATTAATCTTGATATAGCCTACAGAGTAAAAATTTTGTGGGCAAATGGAGTCCACAATGAATTTGTTTGTCTTAAAGTGTGACTAGCTGTTTGTTTTTGATATGTAGGGCTATCATAGATATCCTTCTAGAATGTCTTGCTGCCATATTTTACTGTTAAACATAGCTAAAAATGCAGCTGCTCTGCAGTTAAGTATTGGTTGGCTTTGGTTCATAGGTAGAATATCAGCCAGGAAATTGAAGAGCCAAGAAGGCAATACCACCCTCATTTCTTCTAACTACAAAATATATGACCAGTTGTGGATGATAGTGAGTTTAGGCTAAATCCATATGCTACAAATCTAAAGCTTCAGGTTGGGTAGTGACATCCAGTAGATTGATAATAATGTTAGTGGCTTTTGCTTGTAACTCTTTGCATTTACTAATCATAATAATCTTGCAAATTCAACTACTGCATTTCTTTTAGATCTTGGGCATCAGATGAAGATATGAATAACAGGTAATCTCCAGTACAATATATGTAGAACTTCATATTTTAAAAAAATCTTTTTGAAATGCAGTTTGGAACCTTCCTTCCTTCCTTCCTTCCTTCCTTCCTTCCTTCCTTCCTTCCTTCCTTCCTTCCTTCCTTCCTTCCTTCCTTCCTTCCTTTTCTCATTCCTTTTGACTTTTTTCATGTTTTTTACTAGATACGCTTGATGGTAAAAGTTATTTTATGCAGCATGAATTAAAAAAATTTCTCTGAGACACTATTATTTGTACAGTAAACATGTACAGATCTTCTACAGAAAGTATTTGTTTCTGAATATTACGCCCAATGTATCTCCTACAGTCTGATTCACAGTGGCACAGAACATCATATTCAACATCCTAAGGTGAAAAACCGGTGAATGTGCCACATAGTAATCCAGGTAAAGCCTTCCCCTGATGAAACTGCTTCCATCAGCAAAACTAGCAATGGAGATTCCCCCTTCCCCTCCTTGTGTAATCCATTTAGAACAGTGTTTCTCAATCTTGGCGATTTTAAGATGTATGGACTTCAATTCCCAGTATTCTCCAGCCATCATGCTAGCTGGGGAATTCTGGGAGTTGAAGTCCCACATCTTAAAGTTGCCAAGGTTGAGAAAAACTGGTTTAGAATGATAGGGAATACTCTGGAGTAGTGTTTGGAGAAGGGCATGAAGAGATGATAGAGAAAGGAATAGGTTCAATATTGCATTGTCCATAATCCTGCTGGTACCACCTTTGGGACTTTACTTCTGTGTTGTCCTTTTAGGAGAAAAACAGTTTGTGTACATAAGTATTTATCAGGTCCACAAATTTAGAATATTATACTTTGGAGATGTTATGTATCTCCCTGATTTACAGCTACATCAGGTGGTATACTTCACAAATGTAATGATTTAACCTGATCTAAACTTGGATTTTTTTTTTAGTGGCCCAGTTTGTAGTGATGAAATATTTACAAGAGAATGGAATCCACTTAATAAGGATGGTTCTGGTTCAGGTAACTTGTCAAAATTAATATTTATGTTCTGTTTCTTTTTCTGTGTAAGTTTGCATACCACTGTGGTTCGCTCATAATGCTGAGGTGTTGTGTTTTATTTGGGATGTGACCTACGCATTATGGCTAAATATTATATGTAGACCAGGCCAATATGGCTTATTCCATGGGTTCTCAAACCATTGGTTCTGACCCTCAGCAAGTTGTAAGCAAAGGTGGAGGATATTGCAATTTTTTTTAATTACTTCAGGTATGGTTGCTGAGCTTAGACTTTTGCACATTACCAAGCCTATGAATTAGTTTTCCATCTGCTCCCTTTTCTTAGGCATAAGGGTTTTACAGACTACCATTATACTGTATTTTTAAAACCATAATATATATTATAAAACCTTATTTTGAAATGAATTCTTTAATAGACATTTATTTTACAAAATATTGGAATTAATCTGCTAAAATGTGTCAGTATATCATAAATAATAAAGATTTTGTAACGTGTTTGGTTTAAACCGTATTTTTGTGGTTTGGAGTTTTTAATGCAGAATATAAAAATTAGCACCTACTGATCATGTACATATGCAGGCCATTGAGAGTTGAATCGAGTTTTTCTCAGAAATATTTGTGTCTCTGGCATGTCTGCAAGCATGGTATGTACTCAAAGCTGTAGTCTTTGGAGTGTCTGTAGAAGTATATGCATTGGTAGGAGCAGAGAGATCCACCCTCAGCCATGGAAGCTCACTGGGTGACTGGCTACTCGCTCTCTCTAAGCCCAATATATCTCTCAGGGTTATTGTTGTTGGAAAAACTTGGAGGAAGGAGTACACTGCCTTGAGCTCTTGAAGGAAATGCAGGATATAAATATAAGAAACATATAAAGTAAGATATTTTATCCATTTTAGTTGATAATGTTGTATGTTTGTATTATTGTTTTATTTAATTTATAGGTTAAAAGTTTATTGTTAACAGTAAGTGATATTGTCCAGTTCTTACCTAGAGAAGCTCTAGTTTATTCAACAACTGTGATTATATGAGAAAACTCTACTCCCTGTTATTGAGCAGAAGCACTGATAGCCACCTGAGGATACAGACTACATCATATGGATAAAGGCTATCCTGTGAACTCTCTTTTGGGGAAAGGATGTTCAGTTTTAAGATTTTTCTAACAATTGGGTTGATTCCAGTGATTTCTTTCAAGATAGGCTTTGGATGATATGTCTATATTACTTCTTTGAAGGAGGTATCAAGTATCAAGGCTTTAGTTAGCGGTGGCTTGTCTCCTTACATTGGGGAGATGGTTAAGGGCTGTATTGGTTTCAACTGTGTCTCACTTATGGGTTTGATGGACTTCCTCTGACTTTAAAAAGGACACTATTGTAATACTCAGCCTTTAGGCTGATAAGAAATTCAGGGCATTATTGGTTTTACTTTCGGACTATGGCCTAAGCTGCAGTTCTTCCCATCTAGTTTTCTTTGTGTGTGTGTGTGGGGGGGGGGGGTAAGTCTCTTCACTCAGCTATTACGTCAGAAATCTGGTAGCACCTTTTCCAGCTAACACATTTTATGCCTTTTAATAACAAGTGTTAGTTGGAAAAGATGCTACTAGACTCCTGATTTTTGGCTACCGTATATGAAAACAGCTGTCCTCCTACAAAATCTGTTACATCTGGGGACTGATGAGCAAGTTTATCCTCTTCAGAGAACACTGTTTTCCAAAGCTTCAATGGGAAGGGAAGAAACCAACTTCTCTCTTTCTCTCAGGAAGAGTGGAAATTCACATGCTAAATAAATGATTTCTTCTTATTTTTTAAATATTTTTATTTCACTAAGATTCATAAAACACTTTAGAAATTAATGAAACAGCAATATTCTGTGGTAAAGTTAAAAACAAATCAATAGTGTCTCATTAAGAACAGTACCATAGATTATTAATTATTAAACGGATGCCAAGAGGCATTCTCTTGCCACAAAAATATATTATTTCTCTTTTGCTTTTTCTGTGGTGAAAAACTTTTGAAGAAGATTATAGTTATGTGACAGATTCACAGATAGTTTAATGATGAATAGGGGTTTAAAGGTCAGAACTGGCACATCTATTTATACTAGATGCACAGACAGCATCTGATCTGAAGTTTTTATGGTCCTAGATAATATCTAATTTACATCAGTTGATATGCCAAACTACTGCATATTGTACTGTTGTGTAATCCAGTCTAGAAAAAGATTAGTGCCTGTGTATAAACCACTACTGTCACACTACTACCATTATCTGGAATCAATTCATGGTATTCCTTCTAAACTGCATTAGAAATGTTAATATTTGAATTAGATATTTATTGTAATAGTTATGGGTGTGCTAGCCTTCCAAAAATGAATAGAAACCAAAGTGTTTCAGAGAGTTTGTGGTGTGAGACTGGGACTGATTATTATTATGGTTTTACAATGGATGTTTTATTGGAAATGCATTTATTTCATACTTGTGAACTGCTGAGAATCTGGTTGATTACTGTAGGTTTATTTTGGTGCCTTCGAATCAGTCTTGACTCCTGGTTTGCCATTGCCTGCTTCCTAGGGCTGAGAGAGAGAGTGACAGGCCCAAGGTCACCCAGCTGGCTTTGTGCCTAAACTGGGCCTAGAACTCATGGTCTCCCGGTTTCTAGCCTGATGCCTTAACCTGTTCTGTTTCAAGGTTGCAGGCACCCACACGCAGACACAGTTACTAAGGAGTTGAAGTATTTACTACAGTTTATGCAGATAACAGCAGACAGGATTGTAATTCAAATACCCAGCAGAGTGTGCTTGTCTGAAAATGTAGTGTGGAGGAAAGAAACATTGAAAAGAAATAATTAAAGCTTGTAGTTAAAACAATATTGAATTATGAAGCATGTTGCATAGGAATGACTCACCAAAATGTTGCCCTGTCTTATATATATTTCTTTTGTTATTTTGGGACTTACCTGAGATGTACATTTTTGTATATTTCTTTTTTAATAGTATCGCCTACAAGCACATCCAATGTTCGTCGGTCCAAAAGAATACGTACTAAACCATTGGAATATTGGCAAGGAGAACGTGTTGATTATAAAACAAGAGCTTCAGGTGTGTAATTCAGGGGTTTTGAATGGAGGAACTGCCATTATTTGTGATGAAATAATTTGTTTAGAAATGCAGACTGATGAATCTGAAAGGTGGACACACACTTACTTTGAACCTACAGCTGACTGCAATTACTCATGCCTCGCCCTTTGTCTAGCGAGGAACCTCATTGAGGAGTGTTACTCTGCTTGCCGCTGCCTGTGTCTAGACCTGGGGCTTGGGGATTTTGCCTTGTTATTGGACTGCTCCAGCTGAACAGAAACTGCCTGTGGCTGATCAGCCTCAAATGAATCCTGGCTTAATGATTTCTGAGGCTGACAAACCTGAAGCTGACAATCCACAGGCTCAACAGGAGCAACATTGTCAAAGTCAGAGTCAGATTCTGAATCGTGGCTCATAACATAAGCACTACACCAAACTAGCTCTCACTGTAGATATAAATTTTGATAAATAAAAATG